AGGTCACAATGGTGGGTAGTATATGGGGCTTTGGTGATAAAACGGATGGCACTGTGATAGACTACATCCAATTTGCTGAGTAGAGTGTTGGAGGCTATTTTGTAAATGACATCGCCGAAGTCAAGGATCGGTAGGATAGTCAGTTTTACGAGGGCATGTTTGGCAGCATGAGTGAAGGAGGCTTTGTTGCGAAATAGGAAGCCGATTCTAGATTTAACTTTGGATTGGAGATGCTTAATGTGAGTCTGGAAGGAGAGTTTACAGTCTAACCAGACACCTAGGTATTTGTAGTTGTCCACATACTCTAGGTCAGACCCGCCGAGAGTAGTGATTCTAGTCGGGTGGGCGGGTGCAAGCAGCGTTCGGTTGAAGAGCATGCATTTAGTTTTACTAGTGTTTAAGAGCAGTTGGAGGCTACGGAAGTAGTGTTGTATGGCGTTGAAGCTCGTTTGGAGGTTTGTTAACACAGTGTCCAATGACGGGCCAGATGTATACAAAATGGTGTCGTCCGCATAGAGGTGGATCCGAGCTTCACCAGCAGCAAGAGCAACATCATTGATATACACAGAGAATAGAGTCGGCCCGAGAATTGAACCCTGTGGCACCCCCATAGAGACGGCCAGAGGTCCAGACAACAGGCCCTCCGATTTGACACATTGAACTATATCTGAGAAGTAGTTGGTGAACCAGGTGAGGCAGTCATTAGAGAAACCAAGGCTATTTAGTCTGCCAATAAGAATGCGGTGGTTGACAGAGTCGAAAGCCTTGGCCAGGTCGATGAAGAGGGCTGCGCAGTACTGTCTTTTATCGATCGCGGTTATAATATCGTTTAGGACCTTGAGCGTGGCTGAGGTGCACCCATGACCAGCTCGGAAACCGGATTGCATAGCGGAGAAGGTACGGTGGGATTCGAAATGGTCGGTGATCTGTTTGTTAACTTGGCTTTCAAATACTTTCGAAAGGCAGGGCAGGATGGATATAGGTCTGTAACAGTTTGGATCTAGAGTGTCACCCCCTTTGAAGAGGGGGATGACCACGGCAGCTTTCCAATCTCTGGGGATCTCAGACGTTATGAAAGAGAGGTTGAACAGGCTAGAAATAGGGGTTGCGACAATTTCGGCGGCTAATTTTAGAAAGAAAGGGTCCAGATTGTCTAGCCCAGCTGATTTTGTAGGGGTCCAGATTTTTCAGCTCTTTCAGAACAACAGCTGTCTGAATTTGTGTGAAGGAGAAGCAGGGGGGGCATGGGCAAGTTGCGGAGGGTGCAGAGCTGGTGGCCGGGGTAGTGGTAGCCAGGTGGAAAGCATGGCCAGGCGTAGCAAAATGCTTGTTGAAATTCTCAATTATTGTAGATTTATCGGTGGTGACAGTGTTTCCTAGCCTCAGTGCAGTGGGCAGTTGGGAGGAGGTGCTCTCAATTTCCATAGACTTTGCAGTGTCCCAATACTTTTTGGAGTTAGTGCTACAGGATGCAAATTTCTGTTTGAATAAGCTAGCCTTTGCTTTCCTAACTGATTGATTGTGTATATTGGTTCCTGACTTCCCTGAAAAGTTGCATATCGCGGGGGCTGTTCGATGCTAATGCAGTACGCCACAGGATGTTTTTGTGCTGGTCAAGGGCAATCAAGTCTGAGGAGAACCAAGGGCTATATCTGTTCTTAGTTCTGAATTTTTTGAATGAGGCATGCTTATTTAAGATTGAGAGGAAAGCACTTTTAAAGATCAACCAGGCATCCTCTACTGACGGAATTAGGTCAATATCCATCCAGGATACCCGGGCCAGGTCAATTAGAAAGGCCTGCTCGCTAAAGTGTTTTAGGGAGCATTTGACATTGATGAGGGGTGGTCGTTTGACCGCGGACCCATTACGGACGCAGGCAATAAGGCAGTGATCGCTGAGATCCTGGTTGAAGACAGCGGAGGTGTATTTAGAGGGTACATTTGTTAGGATGATATCTATGAGGGTGCCCATGTTTACAGATTTAGGGTTGTACCTGGTAGGTTCGTTGATAATTTGTGTGAGATTGAGGGCATCTAGATTAGATTGTAGGTTGGCCGGGGTGTTAAGCATATCCCAGTTTAGGTCACCAAGCAGTACGAACTCTGAGGATAGATGGGGGGCAATCAGTTCACATATGGTGTCCAGGGCACAGCTCGGGGCTGAGGGGGGTCTGTAGCAAGCGGCAACAGTGAGAGACTTATTTCTGGAAAGGTGGATTTTTAGAAGTAGAAGCTCAAACTGTTGGATAGTACGATAGAGGTCTGCAGGCTATCTCTACAGTAGATTCCAACCCCACCCCCTTTGGCAGTTTTATCGAGATGGAAAATGTTGTAGTTGGGGATGGACATTTCAGAATTTTTGGTGGCCTTCCTAAGCCAGGATTCAGACACTGCTAGGACATCAGGGTTGGCGGAGTGTGCTAACGCAGTGAATAACTCAAACTTAGGGAGGATGCTTCGGATGTTAACGTGCAAGAAACCAATGCTTTTACGGTTACGGAAGTCAACAAATGATAACGCCTGGGGAGTAGGAGTGATACTGGGGGCTACAGACTCCCGAGTGTGCCACTAGAGATCCTGGTTCGAATCCAGGCTCTGTCGTAGCCGGCCGCGACCGGGAGACCCATGGGGTGGCGCACAATTGGCCCAGCGTCGTCCAGGGTAGGGGAGGGAATGGCCGGCAGGGATGTAGCTCAGTTGGTAGAGCATGGCGTTTGCAATGCCAGGTTTGTGGCCTGGGTTGTGGGTTCGATTCCCACGGGGGGCTAGTATGGAAAAAAATTAAGCAATAAATAAATAATGTATGCACTAACTAACTATAAATCGCTCTGGATAAGAGCATCTGCTAAATGACTAAAATGTAAAATGTAAATGTACAGGGCCTGGGTTAACCTCTACATCACCAGAGGAGGAGTAGAATAAGGATACGGCTGAAGGCTTTAAGTACTGGTCTTCTAGTGTGTTGGGTACAGAGAAAAAAAGGGGCAGGTTTCCGGTCGTTGTAGAATAGATTCAGGGCATTATGTACAGAAAAGGATATGAGTACATTGGAGGTAAACCTAAGCGTTGGGTAACGATGAAAGAGAGCATCACTGGAGGCACCGATTGAGTCGGTCTCCGCGTGTGTGAGGGGTGGGACAAAGGAGCTATCTATGGCAGGTAAGAGGGGTTTTGAAGCTAGGATAAACTGAGTAATCCAGTCTTAATTGTCTGTTCTATTACAGGCGACGTTAATGCAAAGAAAAAGGATGACCCTAAGTACAGTATAGAGTTGATCATCCTCATTACTTCATAGTCTCTTTCTTTCTGTTTCAGTGATGGTTTGGTGATATCACTGAAGTTACTAACGCTTAACTTACTAACGCTCACCATTAGTAATCTATTACTCTTTATCTCTAATGTTTAAACTTGGTCCAATGTAAATGTGACACAGGAAAAAATTCCATTGCGAAATAATGCTTTTTAGCCTATTAATTGATGGAAATACCAGTCGATGTACATACATTTGACTGGTCATGCTTATCGGTCAATAGGTTAATTTGCTTAATTTAGTGGAATTAAATTGGTGCGTGCATACAGTATATTGGTTATGTATCTTATCACACGCATACAGCATACAGATACAGAGCCTTTGAGTGAAAAATCTGTCAGACAGCATAAGAGCTGCTGCTGCAGCATCTTGTGGTGCTTTCAAATCATGACGTTGGTGATCTTCAGGGCTTCATCAGCGCTTCACACACTACTTTGCAATGAGCTGGAGGCAGTACGCATTTTGAAAACATATACTTAATTGTTTGAAACATGAACGTTTTAATACATACTGTATTATGAGGCATGTCTTCAGCTTATTAGATCTCCTCTCTTTCAAAATGTCTAACGGCTATTTTCATCTCTGTCATATGGAAACCGCTTGCATGTGCAGTGCCCTTTTGACAACAGTGTTTTCTGCTAATTACATTATGGAACCAATATTCACACATAGCCTGCTGCCTTGTGCACATTGCTGCGCTTATAATGTGAATAAATAATAGTTTATCAACATTCTATGGCTACAAAGCACAGGGAGGAAGGTGAGCCATGGTTGGCTTCGATGCAGTAGCGTAGTCTGTGTATTTTTAATTTTGTTAATTTTTTGATGTTTTTAATTTTTTTTTTTGGGGGGGGGGATTTTACCCCCTTTTTCTCCCCAATTTTGTGGTATCCAATTGGTAGTTACAGTCTTGTCCCATCGCTGCAACTCCCGTACGGACACAGGAGAGACGAAGGTCGAGAGTCATGCGTCCTCCGAAACACAACCCAACCGAGCCGCGCTGCTTCTTGACACAGTGCCCGCTTAACCCGCACCAATGTGTTGGAGGAAACACCGTACACCTGGCGACCGAGTCAGCGTGCACTGTGTCAAGAAGCAGCGCGGTTCAGTTGGGTTGTGTCCGTACGGGAGTTGCAGCGATGGGACAAGACTGTAACTACCAATTGGATACCACGAAATTGGGGAGAAAAAGGGGGTCAAATACCAACCAAAAACAAAAAAACAATAGAATACACGGACTACGCTATTGCACACCACTGCATCGAAGCCAACCATGGCTCACCTTCCTCCCTGCGCTTTGTAGCCATAGAACACATCCACATTTCAGCAAGAGGAGGTGATATCGTACGTAAACTAAAACAGAAGCATTCTGGCAGTACTCCTTAGACACTGTGGATCCAAAGGGGCTAAACAATGAGTCGCTAGTGCGCGATGGGACAAGAACATCCCTGCCGGCCAAACCCTCACCTACCCTGGACGACGCTGGGTCAATTGTGCGCCGCCCCATGGGTCTCTCGGTCGCGGCCGGCTGCGACAGAGCCTGGACTCGAACCAGGATCTCTAGTGGCACAGCTTGAACCAGGTTCTCTAGTGCCACACTTGTAATTGCCGTTGGGCAGACCTGGTAGCCAAGTGTCATGCTTCTTAGGTAGCTGTGTGTAATGGAATTGGCTATGTTGCGCGCACAGCGAAAACAAAAGCAAGGGGGCAATGCTGTGAACTCTCGTAGATTTTGATCACTTTTGAGAATGTTCCAGTGTTTCAATACAATGGATTTGACGCGACCAGTACATGGGCTGTACTCTGTGGAAAAACACGTGGGCGCATTTTGTCCTGGTTTCTATTAGTGCCAGTGAGTAGGCTTTGACGTTCAGTCTCTCTAGCACGGGTATAGGCCTGTTCAATGACACCCTTATCATACCCACTTTGCAGGAACCTAGCTTTGCGCTCAAAATCTATGTTTGGACTATAGTTACTTCGGAGCCTTAGGAATTGACCCACCAGTATGTTCTGCTTAAGGTGTACCGGGTGGTTACTGTATGCGCATAAAAGTGTATTCCTACTCTGCGGCTTGCGGAAGTTAGTAGACTCCAACTTGTTTTCTTTATTTTTGTGGATTGTAAGATCCAAGAAGTCTATTTTCTCCCGACTTCTCTCTGCTGTGAATTTGAGATTGGGGTCAGATAAATTAATAAAATGAACTCTGAGAGGAGAGCGTCAGTACCATCCATACCAGTAAGATGTCGTCTATGTATCTTTTCCAAAGGGCGACATTCTGGAAATATGTTTTTTTCTGGACATCATAAATGAAGGTCTCCTCCCAGTGTCCCATAAAGACATTTGCATAGTTAGGCGCGAATGCAGCGCCCATCGCTGTACCCTGAATCTGTTTGTAGAAACTGCCCGCATATTGGAAGTAATTTATTGTGAGGGCTTTTTCAATTAGAGACAGAATAAAGTTAGACGGAGGTAAGTAAGAGACCCTCCAGTCTAGTGTTGAGATAGCGAGAGAGCGCTCATAGGCCTGCGTCATGTTGAATATTAGTGTAGAGAGACTGAACGTCAAGTGTAACCAAGATGCCTTTGGTGTCGCATCTATAGTTATTGATGATCTTAAGCACATCCATGGTATCTCCTAAAAAGGCTGGCAATGCTGGCACAAATTTAGAGATGAAGAAATCAACATACTGAGATAGGGATTCAATAGGGCTACTGTTATGACACAATGGGACGTAAAGGGTTTTTTCCATACTTTTATGTATTTTCGGTAAGCCATAATAAACTGGACAGGCTGGGTGTGGCCTAGTGAGAAAGTCCTTCTCAGTTTCTGTTATCCAACCCTCTGAAAGAGCATTATCAATGACACTATCAATATCCTTTTTTATTCTATCTGGGGTTGGAACAGAGAGGGACATAGAACTTAGTGTCAGAGAGTTGAGCATAGACCTCACTATCATCTACCTAATTAACAGTAAAAGAAACGTCAGTCACCTGTCTGCATCCTGTACAATATATTTTTTATTGCTCACTTTAATCCATCTCTGCCTTTTTTTTGTTGAGTGCTCCAACTTCATTTTACCTCTAATTAGTTCTTTTGGAAGTTTTTCTTGGTAAGCCCTTCTCATAGTTATTCTAACATGTTCAAAGTGCACATCAGAAGTCGGTAAGAAGGACCGCATATCGTTGCATCCTCGACTTGCATGTTCTTCTAAATGTGATTTCTGTCATTCTGAGCACTGTGGGTAGACGCTCTAATCAGGTTACACACCCATTGCATATGGGTCCAGTCAATTTCTCAAATGGGCATACATTTGAGACCTCAGTGGGCCACACCATTTAGTCTCAAATAGACTCACACAAGTAGTACACCGCAATCACCTGCTTAATCATGCTGTAAATGGTTCTTAATAGTTGAGCGATTGCCTTTAAAAAAAGTATAGGCCTACACATGGATTCTCTATCAGACTGTCCTGAGACTGTATGCTGACCTAGGAATACTGGCGGATTGTGAAAGTCTTGGCCTGACAAACACTAGTTGGCCATGACAAGCCCAGCCAGTGTGATATATTAGTACTGCAGTGAAATAAATAAAGATGTGTGTGTATATATGTGTGCTTTAGTCTTCATGTGGGCTAGCCCTACAGCAGTGTGTACGTTTTAAATACCACAGGTCAAACTCTAGCTTTTCTGCCTAATGTCATTTTACTGACGTCTGCTTCAACTTCCTTCATTAGTGCTCTGTTATCACTCTGTCTCAGTAGGAGATGAAGAGGAATTGGGCACAACTGCATTACTGTAGTGTTGTTGAGCAGTTCTGATGTGTTAAATAATCACAGAATCACAGGCAGGCAGCAGAGGACAGGTGGCAAAATACCCCATCTACATTTCCCTCAACCCCACCCATTTACACCTACCTCCCCCTCCTCCCTCCTCCATCTCCCATCCCATCCTCTGGCTGCTGTCATCCTTCCTCTCATTACAGTCATCTTTAATTGCGCAGAGACTAGATGGTTGTCTCCTGAGTCATCTACCTAATTAACAGTAAAAGTGTCTGCGTTGAGTGTATCTCACTTCCACCGAGAGCGGGCTGTGTATGAGAAAGATGAGTGTTGAGGTTGTTCCTATTCTTTTCACACATCTCACAGTGATTGTAGCCATGAGTTAACCATTCGGCTTATACTTCTGGACATCAGCTTGACCTTGGTGAGTGTGAAGCTAATGGAATCAAGACAACATTTGTTCCTTATAGTCTTGTCAAAGTTGCAATTTGCTAATTTTATTTTTCTTCTGTTTTACTGCTTGAAGAGCATTGTAAGGTCATATTTAGTAAGCTCACTTCTGGTAATAGTCCTTGTGTACTGGGTGCGTCATTGAGTGTTTGTGGGACAGCTGGAACACGTGGCGGTCCAGTGGGAACCCTGTATGTCAGGCTACTTGGGTCCACACACCTCTGTATATAGATCCTGTCAGATACACTGACCCATTCTATCTGACAGGTTTCCAACCTGTCCATAGCCTCAGCCTGGCTTACTGACTTCCTGAAGCCTCCTCCCTAGGTGGCCTTTCACACACAAGCCATGTCCACGGAGAGAGACACAGCGTTATTTATTCATCTCTGGTGGTTTTAGTTCCCTGTTTATTTTGGAAGTGTTCAGTTCAGTTTACGCTTGCTTGATAGTGAACTCGGGGCCTGCAGGGCCGGTGATGCATCCACAGTTGATGCAGAGGAGATCTGACAGTTATGAGTCTATGGCTGTTCGTCACACAGGGGGACGGCAAGGCTGCTGCTACCACAAGATAAGCTCTCCTTTATACCCAATACAGCCTCTGTCTCTCTGTGTGTCCCCTACACTCACTGAGGGGAAAATAATGAACATCCCTTCAAGTAATTTATGTATTTTGTGTTTTATACAGCAGAATTGCATTTTTGTGGGAGGGGGGGATCAAAACAAGTTGTTTGATGCAGTTCTAGGAATGTATTCTTCTGAAGACTGCAGGAGTTGGGGCTCACACACATCGCACCGAATGTGGATCTAGCATTCGTCTGCCGATTTGTTCAGCACGCTGTGTTTTAGGGACCACCCGCTGTAGACGTCGGACTGCCTACATTTTTTATGCGATTCTACATGTAAAATCTTGGTTGACCGAAAGTCGTCTGTTCTTTCAACCAATCGATTGCTCAACATTTTTAAATGTGTATTCTTCCATATATAGGCACCCTATGTGTTTTAATAAAATCAACTATGTGCATTGAGCTTGTCTGATGCTTTAAGCTTACGGTTTGATTCCTCAAGAGGGCGCCAGAGATCTAGATAACCAGAAGAAAAAAACCTGACACATCTATACTCTTCCCGCTCCTGCTGTCTTTCGCAGATTCTGCCATTACTCTCCTGAAGTTGCCGGTAATAGGAGTAGGCAACCTTTCTGTGGAATGCCAATTTATCTTACCATTTCTACCGATCTGCGTGCCAGTTATGGTTTTCATATGCACATTTTCGTGAAGGTTTCATTTAATTTATAATAACGTCTTCATATCTCAATCATTTGTCATGTGGTTTATTAAAATTCTACCAAATCTCAATGAAAATTATACTTTTTAGGTTGGTCACTTCTTTTGCCATTGCCAGCTATGTAAAAATAGCCTATATAAAGCCAACAAATAAATACGTTGCAGCCTGCACGTAGAAAATATCCTGATTTTAAAAATAAAAATAAATCCTATAAATCACATTGGCTACACATGGCCTGTCTGCAATGAACTTGAAACATTGTATCAACTATTAACTTGGGTCCAGCCCAAAGCTTGTGCTAGCGAACTTGCAACATTGTATAAAATATTCTGGGCCCTCAGTTTCCTGTGCTAGTGAGGTCGGGACAGACACAGCTGTAGGATATTTGCGAAAGGGATAAGAAGCAGTGCTTGCCTTGGGCAGGAGCTCACCGGAGCAGAGTACCAGCACCTCAAATCTTCTACTGCTTGAGCTCCTGTTCCTCTTATAGAATATTAGCTCAAAAGTATTGTGGAGCTCCTCCACCTAAATATAAACAGTACCCAAAATGAGTACTGGAACCTATTTCAGTCCAAGTCAAGCACTGATAAGAAGCCTATTTTATGACGTTTCCACTGGATCAGAGCATGACATTATTCCCTTTCACGCCGAGTGGTTATCAAAAGGGAGAGAGCTGGAAAGATTTTTCAAATACATTGAGGAACTATTGTAATTCTCAGTGGATGTAAAAACAGACTTTGTTTGCTTGCTGTTTGAGGTGAAGAAAACATTTACTTTGAGAAGCTCCACAGGTCATTAGTGGTGGTGCATTAAGCCAATCAGAAATGCTATCAGATCCCCAAATGGGCACATTTATATGCCTACATTTGCGCGCAGGCCAGGTAGCCTATAGGCCTACTTCTATGCGTGCACGTCCTTACTCAACATTGACAGGAGCGCTCCAAACAAAAGACCGTGACTAAATTGACAGAACTCGTAAATGGAATTAAATAATCCAAAACTTGTTTCTCACAATTGTAGCGTAGGTTGTGCACTCTGCAAACAATGTCTCCACTCCGACAATGAGAACAGGAAGACTGGAATCATGTTGAATGCATTAAACGAAATGACCGTAACCAAAGTAACAAACATTGTAGATTAGAAATTATAGGAATGAACGGTAAATGTACTACTGGTGATATACAGTGCATTCAGAAAGTATTCAGACCCCTTCCCTTTTTCCACCTTTTATGTTACAGACTTATTTTAAAATGGATTAAATTAATATTTTTCCTCATCAATCTGCGCACAATACCCCATAATGACAAAGCAAAAACAGTTATTTAGAAATTTTTGCAAAGTTATTAAAAATAGATACTTATTTACATAAGTATTCAGACACTTTGCTATGAGAGGCGAAATTGAGCTCAGGTGCATCCTGTTTCCATTGATCATCCTTGAGATGTTTCTACAACTTGATTGGAGTCCACCTGGGGTAAATTCAATTGATTGGACATGATTTGGAAAGGCACACACCTGTCTATATAAGGTCCCACAGTTGACAGTGCATGTCAGAGCAAAAACCAAGCTATGAGGTCGAAGGAATTGTCCGTAGAGCTCAGAGACAGGATTGTGTCGAGGCACAGATCTGGGGAAGGGTACCAAAACATTTCTGCAGCATTGAAGGTCCCCAAGAACACAGTGGTCTCCATC